TTTTTTTTTCTTCAGTAATTCAATTTCGTAGGCTTTGTGACCTTTTCTGTTCTGCAACATTGTCCCTTTTTTGTGTTTGTGGTTTGATGCTGTGCTGTATATCCTCTAATTTGACAAGACTCCTAGATAGGGATTTTGGTAGGGGAAGATGTTATGCATTCGTTCTTCATCTAAACAAAACTTGGATCTCTACTTGAGCTCTTTCAAAAGAGAACTTTGGTTTTCATTTAGAACCTCATCTTTTTAATTTCTAACTCTGTGATTATTAACATAACTAGACAAAGTTTTAACCTCAGTTTGGTTGTGTTGGAGTAGTCAGTCCCAGATTTAAAAAAACTTTGAAGAACTTGGTCTGCCATAAAAACAAAATGGGGAGGGGGTTGAGGGCAAAAAAGTGTAGATGATGACAACCACTAGATGATGACTGAGGACTCCTCCTTTTGTTAGTGTGTGTTTTGTGTGTGCCAGTACATAATTTTCAGTTACCTTTCTGAGAAACAAGGAAATGAAGATGTTGAGGTTTGGCTCTGGTTCTTCTAAAGATTAAAGAATCTCTATGAGYCAGGCAAAGTGAATCAGAAAAATGGACTTTTTGGAATTTCTGTCCCTCTTCTCCTAAGTATTTTTTTAAAGAAATGTTTATTTATGAACAGGAAAAGTTTGTAATTCCTTTAGGAATTAAGAGATTCAGAGTGGGTGAATCAGAAGCTGTGAATGCTACAAAAATTATAGAGGTAGTTGTTGGAAGAGGTAAGAGTGATGCAGTTGGAATTTCTTTTCCCTTAGGTGTAGTATGGGAGAGCATCTGCTTCTTTTGTTGTTGCTGGGTTTTTTTTTTTTTTCTTTTCTCAGTTCCAAAATCGTTGAAAATAGGAGCTTGCGTTTGTGAAAGTTCTTACAACAGACACCTGAATCATACAATTAGCAGTGAATTTATGGGCACTTTCTTCAGCTGTCTCTTGTCGCTGGGGAAATGGGAGGGTGCCCAGATTCCAAGGGCTGGCGGGCTGTTCGAGTGAATCTTGCTGATGAGTCGCTCATGCAGTTGTGAAGTGTAGACCTGAAACACTGTTTTTAGCCCTTTGGACTGGAAAGAAGCATTTGCCTTCTCTCCATCCACTCAGGCTTAGGAAACACCTCACTGCTGTGGTGGGCATATAGCCTCCTTTAACTTAAAAATTAAGGGAAAAAAAGCTGATCTTAATGAGGGCTCCCTTGTCCCTTTTAGTGTTTGTTCTTGCAGATACCTTTATGAAATGAGCTGGTTTTTGTCTGTATTACTGTTAGGCTGAGAGGTTTGGATGAACAGTAAAAAATGCGTTGGTCAGTTTTTCAGCACAACTAGGCAAAAATGTGAGTCTTAGTGAAAGCCCTTGGAACACTGTGCTAAATAATAATTAATTTATATTTGATCGTTGTCTAGGGGTATGCATCTAGCTATGCAAGTGCTTGACTGCTTGATACAGTCTGGAAAATATACACAATGCACCATTAAAAATATCTTCTAAAGGATAAAGTTGAAAAGAAAAAATCCGACTTGTTTTTCAATCTACTGAAACATATTCAAAAGCCAAGGTAATTTAGGAAGAAGCTGGAGTGCAAAATATCTCCAACTTCAGTGCCTACATGTTTTTATAGGTTCATCCGAAAGGAAGAGGAGAAAGTAAAAAATACTGTGCATCAGCAAGTGAAACAAAGTGTATCGTAGAGTGGAGGTGATGGCTAGCGAGTGCAGTCCAATGCAAGCTGCAGAATGAACATTTCTGCAGATTTCCTGAAATAGCAGAAGTATAAATTAAATACTGTATACATGTGCCGTATGCATATGAGAGGTGTCTACATGTTTCAAAGAAACTCCTTGGGGTCTATAAAAATCTTCTATGATGTCTAAAGGGGAAGACTTCTCTGTATGGATATTTGTCATTAAAGTCAATTTTTGTAACAATAAGTAGTTCTTGAAAGTTAGTTTGTTAGTGTGTTGCTGCCTGACTTTCAGAGTGAAAGAAAATGGCACTGAGGGAGCCTCAGAGGAATTGAATAAAGACTAGCACAGTGGATGCTTACAAATGCCTTCTTGAAAGTGTAGTGTGGAGGTACAACCTTCATTTTCATCGAGTCTGTCACAGTGCTTCAGTTCGTCTTCTCAGGCTTCCAGGGTGATTCAGACAGGCTTTTAATTACTCAGTCAGAGAGCTGTGACTATAACCATTACATTTGGGGTACAGCTGCTGATAATTCTGCCTAGGTTGTTCCTGATGATATTGTGAAACTAAGCTGGAGATAATTCAGTTAGCTTTGTCACCATATTTGTTTGATTCATGTATTTTGGGAGATTTGTTTGAGGTTCAGTAAAGTAGGGCATGCAGTGGATAGGAGGTGATGCTATAGGCTTTCATTCGAGGTTAATGAGACACTGGCTGACATATGTCAGTCATAGATAAAYTTTTGTTTAAATGATCCTAACTTTAATTAGTGGGCAAATAGGAATTTTAAAGCAAAAATACATTCATTAAAGTTAGGTGGCTACAGAAAGCACAGACTTAATGATCAGTATGTGTGCAAACCAGRTTATGGCTGCTTATTATAGAAGCTGTTTTCTTGTAGTTAGACTCTGTAAAAATGAGTTCTTGTACTTTTCATAAGCATGCATCAAAGTCAGTAAGTACATTAAAATTGACTAAAGGGTGAAACAAATCGCAGCATATGCCAGCCCAAGGTAAGTACTGTGTGTTACATTGCATATTGTGTTCTTATAGTTGACAGAAACGTCACCTGTGATCAATTCTTGAAGAATGGAGTGAAAGTCTTGTAGGAAAATCGAATTTAAGTCAGGTATATAGAGACTAATTTGCTTATATGTGCGTTACAGTGCAGTTTATTTATATACAGTTGGTTTATGTTCACCTCTGGATTTGTAATGATTTATATGTTTGTAATCAGAGCTAATGCAGTGCTGCAGCGATCTAGATCGGCAAAGCTAGAATGTGCTTTCATTTTTTTTTCCAAAAAATATTTTCCAAAAAATATTTTCCAAAAGCAGCTGTTTGTTTGTGCACTTCAGACCAGTGATGAACAAGTCTAGAGTTCTTGTAAGATATGCTCCAGAAAACAGCGTGCACACCAATGGGGTTAAGGATGTGGAAACACATGTTCTGTTCAATTTCATCCTGGCTGGTACATAAAGTCTAGGGGTCCCTTGAACATCAAGAAGGCAGTGTGTAGTTTTTCCTGATATTCCTGGTAGTGCTGTAGAGATTCCTAGGCCTTGAGGCTGGAATGAATTCCACATTGTGGATTTTAATGTTTTGTAGTTCAAATAATGAATGATTTTGAAAAAGTAATCTCAGTGAAATCAAAACTGTAAAATGGACCTACTTCACTGTTTCTGTGTAATCATGCTATATAGCATATTTTGTTGCATATTTTATTGTATCACCAGAAGAGAATCTGTTAAGTTTACTTTGCGCAACACACCTACAGAAGAAGCCATCCATCTAACTGCTGGGTGATGAATATACACATTTTTCAAATGATGCATAAGAAATAGCCTACATATGTATATTGGTTTGATTTTTAATCTATACTTGTTCAGCTTGTAACAGCTGATTTCCTATTGCTGCCTCCATTCATTCATGGCACACGTTGCTTCTAGCACAATAGCATGCATCTTGGTGTTGCAAGCTAACATGTTTACATTTGAGTGCTGATCTAAACGGATATGTAGCTGCTGCATTTGATGAAACTAAACTGACCTGTGTGTGTGCTCTTCCATGTGTACACACATGTTTGTGTGCGTGTAGCCCTAGAAAGGGCTTCCTCCAATTTCTGGGAAATCATTCTTCTCAATTTGCCCACCATTTCCCAGATCTGGATTACTTGCATTTTTCTTTCTTTCATTCTGAAGGAGGGAGGGAACAGGCTGGCTGAAAGAAACTTTTCCTGCCCTCTGGCTTCACTTCTTCTTGGTGACAGCACTATTATCTCCTCTTCCCAGCTATTACCTGCTCAGGGGGTGAGGTGGCCCGAAGATGGGATTGTGGCTCCGAGCGCAGCATGCCCGGTGCTGGGCTCCCTTCTGTCTCCTGCAACTGACCTTTGTAGGGAAAAGAGCATCCCCAACTTGGAGCCTTGAGAGTAGTTGTATTTCTTCCATAAGCCGTAAACATGGGCTTTTTTGGTTACCCTATGCTCCTAAACAGCTGTTTTTCTGCTAATCTACCCATAGACTTGCTGTTCTTCTTACTTATTTAACGGCTTATCTTGCATATAATGAAGCTGCAGTGGAAACAGGAAAAATATTTTGCTTCCATGGTCTTTTTTGAGTTCAAGTTTTAAGTTTTTTTTTTCTTTTTTCCTCTGATTGTGTGATAAATTGGTTAATGCTAATTCTACAGCTATAGGGAAAAAAAAAGCCTTTAGTGTTATGGATATAGTTAAGTTCTTTGAGGAATCTTTCCTTCAGTTTTCTTGGACTCCTGCTGTGATCAGTGAAGTCTTAATGCAGAACCATTTACCCATTACATGGATTCTGGCAAACGTAGAGATGGTTAAAGGTATTAAAAGTTGCAAGTTGGACCTTGTGGTATTGGTATCCTGTGCATGAATATAATAGGGTTCTACTGTGTACAGTTTGTGTCAATGCCAGATATTTAATTTAACAGATTCTGCTTCTATTAAGAAATAGGGTGTTCATGGAAAACACACTGTGCAACTAGAGACATGATTCTGTTATGTGGTTGATTACAAAAAAAAAAAAAAAATAGGGGGCAGATTTTCAATATGAGCTCAGTCAGTGAAAGACATCAACAAAGACGTTGGCTAACAAATGTGTGTGTGTGTGTGTGTGTGTG